CCCTTAGGGGGCCCTCCAAGGTGGGGGCCCCCCATGGGGGGCCCACCCCTGGGAGGAGACCCTTTGGGGGAGCGGCCCTGGGTGTCCCCCCCTACGGGGGACCCTAGGGGGGCCCCCAGGGGGGCCCCCAGACGGCCAGCTAGATGCATAAGGGTGGTATTTGTCTCCTTTGTTGTATTAAAATAATTAAAAGGGAGACACAAAAGAAAGGAGACACTTGCTGCTGCTGCTGCTGTTGCTGTTGCTGCTGTTGCTGCTGACTCCTATTATAAGGAGACAGCAAATAAAGAGGGATAATAATAATGGTAAGGCTGGGGTGTATAGGCAGCACGACACCTCAATGATGAGTCGTCGTAAGCTGCTGCTGCTGCTGCTGCTGTTGCTGCTGCTGTTAAGCCTGCGCAGCGGGAGCTGCACGGACCGCTAGATGAGCGGCAGCGGCAGCAGCAGCAGTAGCAGCAGCAACAGCAGCAAGAGCAGAGCTGCTGTTGCTGCGGCTACTGTAAAAAGGATTTGCTGCTGCTGCTGCTCTTGTTGCTGCAGCAGCTGCTGCTGTGCGTAACCCTTAAGGGTTGGGGGGCCCCCTGCCTGCCATGAGGGTTGAGGGCCCCATGGGGTGTATAGGCAGCTAATTTATGTTATTTATGCTGTATAAAAGAAATAATTAATTAATTAATTATATTTTTATTTAATTAAATAAATAAAATAAATAAAATAACAAGAAAATACAAATAAAATAAAGAAAAAGAAGGAAGGGAGGGGGCCCCTACATAAAATAATAACCCTCAGCTGCTGCTGCAGCTGCTGCTGTTGCTGTTGCTGCTATTGTTATCTGCTTCTACTGCGGTGTATATACACCCTAATTATTTTATTTAATTCTTTTTATTATTTAATTTATTTTAATTTATTAAAAAAATAAATAGCAGAGCAGCAGCAGCAACTGCAGCAGCAGCAGCAAGCTGCTGCCCCCCACCCGTCTGTCTAGGGTGGGGTTGTTGTTATTGTTGTTGCTGCTGCTGGACTGCAGCAGCAGCAGCAACAGCACCAGCAGATGCAGCAAGTTAGTCTCTTTTCTCGGGTCCCCCTTTCCCCCTTACACCCCTCAGGTGTACGTACACCCGAATGTATTAACTGTTAATACTCTTATAGTCTCCCTTCTATAGGGTTTACGAATTAGGGTTTAGGGTTTACGATGCGTAGACTGTTAAACCCTAATTGGTAAACCCTAAACCCTAATTGGTAAACCCTAAACCCTAACAGTCTACTTATTAGGGTTTACGAATTAGGGTTTACATATTAGGGTTTAGGGTTTACATTATTAGGGTTTAGACCTATATAATATATACTAAGGTTAACAAATTAGGGTTTAGGGTTTAGGGTTTAGGGTTTACGAATTAGGGTTTAGGGTTTAGGGTTTACAAATAAGGGTTTAAGAAATCATAGTGTTGCATCAATTAGAATTATTGAGGGGGATCTTTTGCAGCAGTATTAGCTGTTTCTGCTGCTGCTGCTGCTGCTGCAGCTGCTGTTGCTGCTGCTGCTGCTGCTGCAGCAGCAGGAACAGCAGCAGGTTTAATATTTATATTTCTTTTTGCTGCCTCCTTTTGCAGCATTTGTATTAATATGCATGCACGGCATAATTGATTAGTAGTAAGGGCCCCACACTCTTGGCAATTCTTTAGTCCTGCTGCTGCTGCTGTTGCTGCTGTTGCTGCTGCTGCTGCTGCTGCTCCTACTGGCTCCTCTAACTCTAATCTTTGCTGCTGCCTCCTCCTGGTCAATACTAACTCCCTCTTACGATCACCGCTGCTGCTGCTGCTGCTGCTGCTGCTGCTGCTGCTGCTGTTGCTGCTGCTGTTGCTGCTGCTGCAGCTTGATTCATCATCCTTATTGCTGCTATCTGTAATACTTTTCCTCCCCCTACAACAACTACTACTGCTGCTGCTGTTGCTGCAGCTGCTGCTGCTGCTGCTGCTGCTGCTGTTGCTGCTGCTGCTGATGTTATTTTTAGTATCAGGGAATGTTAACCATATACTTGCTGCTCTAATAAGATCTTGTATTCTTTGTTGTTGCTGCTGCTGCTGCATGCATAATATAAATTCTCTAGGTATACCTCTTGCTGCAGTTGAGCTGTACGTACACTCCGTTGCATAATAATCTATTTTATTAAAAAAAGAATATAATACTATTTCCCTCTGGTAAATATACATTAATGGTTTTATTCTTGGTATACTACGACGAATTATATTACTGCTGTTGCTGCTGCTGCTGCTGCTGCTGTCGTTGCTGCTGTCGTTGCTGCTGCTGCTGCTGTCGTTGCTGCTGTCGTTGCTGCTGCTGTTTTTATTAAGGTATTTGCTGCTGCAGTAACATACAACATTATTACATGGACATATAATACTACCAGGATCAATATTGTTGCTGCTGCTGCTGTTGCTGCTGCTGCTGTTGCTGTTGCTGCTGCTGCTGCTGCTGCTGCTGGCACCACATGTACATTCTTTATCCCTATTACTAGTACTAGTAGTATTATATCCACATGTACATTTACATATACACCCTACCTTCTTCTTGTTCTCCTCCCCCCCACTACTACTACTACTACTACTGCTGCTGCTGCTGCTGCTGCTGCTGCTGCTGCTGCTGCTGCTGCTGCTGCTGCTGCTGCTGCTGTTGCTGCCAGGGTTAGCTGAATTCCTTAATCTATAAGTGTCTCCTCTAATTAAATTAAGTAATATTGTCTCCGCTGTATCATCAAGGTTATGTCCTGTTAATAAATAATCAGCAGCAAGCAAGAGGGCCCCTTTCTCTATTGCCTGTCTCCTTAATATACCACAATATGTACAATAACTCCTAAATTGTTTATTTCCTCCTGCTGCTGCTGCTGCTGCTGTCTTCCTGCTGCTGCTCCTGCTGCTGCTGCTGCTGCTGCTGCTGTTGCTGTTGCTGCTGTTTTTATTAATAGTACATTTACTATCACACCTTCTATCATCATCATCATAAGAAATATACCCTCCCTCTCCCTCTTCCTGCTGCTGCTGCTGCTGCTGCTGCTGCTGCTGCTGTTGCTGCTGCTGCTGCTGCTGCTGCTGCTGCTGCTGTTGGATATAATAATCATAATTAAGTGTATGATGTATATTATCCATAGTAAATCCCTTAAATAATTGTTGATAAGAAAGAACAGTAAGAGGTAATTGATAAAAAAGAGACAATTTATATATAATTAATAAGGCATTATCCCTATACCCCTGTATACCCTCATCTATTGCTAGGAGGAGCAGCAACCATTGCTGCTGCTGCTGCTGATTAATATTATATATTATATTTAATAATACACTACTATCCTTACCACCAGATATACATATACATAATTTTTTTTTTTTTTTTATTAATTGTCTCCTTATTATTATATTTATATATACTTCTTCCTCTATTTCTTTTATATAACATAATCTACATCTGTCTCCTTTCCCATTCATTCGTTGCATGCATACACGATGGCTACCGCATACACCGCAGTGACGAACTATAACAGGGGTAGGGGGAGAGGGACGGGTACGAGGACGATTAAGGGATAGGGGAACTATTTCCTTATCCTTTTTCTTCTCCTTCTCCTGCTGCTCATGCTGCTGATGGTGCTCATGCTGCTGATGGGGGGGAGGAGGGGGAGATAGGGAAGAATCGGGGTGAGAAGGAGAGGGGGCCCCTTTTTTATTGGAACAACCGAGGGTGGGGGCCCCTACTTCTTTATAGGGGGCCCCTGTTTCTTGGGACAATTCTTCATCAGGAGAGGGGGCCCCTTTTCTTTGATTAGTAGAGGGGGCCCCTTCTTCGTTTATATTCTTAGGGGCAACTGTTAATCCTGTAGAAGGAGTAACAGAAGAGGGGGGCCCCTCTGTTGTCCCTTCTTGTGGGGGGCCCCCCGATACCTCCGATACCATTATATGATGGGGGCCCCCCTATTTCTTATATATAAACAAAAAAAAAAGAAAAAATAAATAAATAAATAAATATAAATAAATAAAAGAAAAAAGGGTACTTTTCCTCCTGTTGATAAGAAGGAGAGTGGGGGGCCCCTTATAATATGATGAATAGCAGCAACAGCAACAGCAGCAGCAGCAGCAGCAGCAGCAGCAGCAGCAGATGGACCTTGGGGGCCCCATATATATATCGGGTCTTTTAGGTGTATATACACCTAATTATAATAAATAAAATAAATAATAATTAAATATTTATTTAATAAAAATATAAAGACACTCTTGCTTCCTTGCTGCAGCAGCCGCAACAGGAACTGCTGCTGCTGCTGCTGCTGCTGCTGCTGCTGCTGCTGTTGTTGCTTCTATGGTGTTTTGTTACTTAATGAGTCCTTAGATATAATAACTCTCTTCTCCCCTCCTAGCTAGCTGTAGCTAGCTATACACTCTGGCTGTTGCTAGCTAGCTAGCTAGCTGTACACTAGGGAGGAAAAAGGAATAAATATATATATCTATCTAGGGTTTAGGGTTTAGGGTTTAGGGTTTAGGGTTTAAGGCCATGCTTTTCGCAGTGTATAGACAGGCCCTCCTACGCTCCCCTCTAGGGAGGGCCTCGTCGGGTTGGGCCTCAGGGGGCCCCCCTACACTTTCTGCAGCAACTGCAGCAGCAGCAGCAACTGCAGCAGCAGCAACTGCAGCAAATGCAGCAGCAAGACAAGCAGCAGCAACAAGCGCACCAAGAGCAAATGCAGCAACAGCAGCAAATGTACCAGCACAAGCAGCAAGAAGAAGAGCAGCAACACCAGCATTAACAGCAGCAACGTCAGCAGCAGCAACAGCAAGTGCAGCAGCAGCAGCAGCAGCAGCAGAACAATGGGTACGAGGGTTTGCGAGCATAACCGCTAGCGAAGCTCGTCAAGGAAATATTCTTATCTTAGATGGTTAGTCCTAGCAGCAGCAGCAGCAGCAGCAGCAGCAAGGGAAGCAGCAGCATCAGCAGCAGCAGGCGCAGCAACAGCAAGAGAGGCAAGCAGGATATTGCATGTGTTGTTTACTGCTCCTGCTCCTCGTAGGGAATGGGACATCAAGCTTATATCTAGGGTTTAGGGTTTAGGGTTTAGGGTTTAGGGTTTCGTGTGCAGGTCGTCGTGTAGAGGTAACAGAATTTCGTCCAATTAAATCAGGAAGAGGCGCAGCATCTATAGCAGTACGTAAACCCTAAACCCTAAACCCTAAACCCTAGAAATCCTAGTAACCCTAGAAACCCTAGAAACCCTAAACCCTAAACCCTAAACCCTAATTTATTAAGAGGGTTTATGTTGTATGCAGTTGAGTTATATTGACTTAGACAGTCTTAAGAGCGGATCGCAAACTTTTTCTGTACAAAAAAAACTAGAAAGTAAGGGTTTAGGGTTTAGGGTTTAGGGTTTAGGGTTTAGGGTTTAATTAAGGGTTTGTGTCTCGTTTTTTGTCTCCTTATTTGTCTCCTTTTTTTATTCATTTAATTTCTTTCCTTTTATATGTCTCCCTTGTTATGCCTTTCTACAATTATTATTATTATTGCTGCTGCTGCTGCTACTGCTGCTGCTGCTACTGCTGCTGCTGCTGCTGCTGCTGCTGCTGCTGCAGAAATAGATCCAGAGAAGGTATTGTTGCAGGTAATGTATGTAGATAGAGAAGAAGGGACAGTTATACTAACAGATAATCATTATGATGAGGTAAATACACTTACTCTCTTCTTTTTTGTCTCCTTTTTTCTCTCCTTTTTTGTCTCCTTTCTTGTCTCCTTTTTATTTGTCTCCTTTTTTGTCTCTTTTTTATTTGTCTCCTTTCTTGTCACCTTTTTTTTCTCCTCTTTATTCGTCTCCTTTTTATTTGTCTCCTTTTTTGTCTCCTTTTTATTCGTCTCCTTTTTATTTGTCTCCTTTTTTGTCTCCTTTTTTATCTCCTTTTTATTTGTCTCCTTTTTTGTCTCCTTTTTTGTCTCCTTTTTTGTCTCCTTTTTTGTCTCCTTGTTTGTCTCCTTGTTTGTCTCTTTTTTTTGTCTCCTTTTTTGTCTTCTTTTTTTGTCTCCTTTTTTGTCTCCTTTTTTGTTTGCTTTTTATTTGTCTCCTTTTTTGTCTCCTTTTATTAACTGTTTCCTTATTTGTCTCCTTTTTATTTGTCTCCTTTTTGTCTCCTTTTTGTCTCCTTTTTGTCCCTTTTTTGTCTCCTTTTTTCTCCTTAATAGGTGTCTATCCCTTTGCGTCTCTTTGGGGGCCCCTCTGTTGCTGACCATCTAACACGTAGGCCCCATCTAAACCGTGCTGCTGCTGCTGCTGCTGCTGCTGCTGCTGCTGCTGTTTATGCTTCTACTGCTGCTTCTGCTGCTGTTGCTGCTGTTTATGCTTCTACTGCTGCTGCTGCTCCTGCAGTTCATTCTATGAGAAGTGTATCCTACCGTTGCGCTGTTCCTTTTACTCTGCTGCTGCTGCTGCTGTGCTGCTGCTGCTGCTGCTGTTGCTGCTGCAGCGGAGATGCAGGTGTCTGTATGGATGCATGAGGGACAGCCAGTAAAGGTACAATTACCATCATCTATCTTAACTCTTCTTAGGTGAGTTGGGGCTGCATGCATGCACGCATGCACGCATACATGCATGCATCTATGTATTTAACAAGTTGTGGGGGTGTCTAAACAGCAGCAGCAGCAGCAGCAGCAAAAGCAGCAGCAGCAAAAAGGGAGACAAATGTGCAGCATTCGTGCATTAGCTTATCATTGGCAATAAAGTACACGGAGGGCTCTTTAAGTACTTTGCGTGCATGCATGCATGCATGCATGCGTGGGGCTGTATGCATGCATGCATGCATGCATGCATTTATTTATTATAAGTGGGTACGCAAGTATTGGGGTGTCTCCTCAGGTCTAAGAAATAAAAAAGAAAAGAAAAAGGAGACTGCGTATACACCTTGAGGCTGTTAATAGATTGTCTCTTTTATTAAAAAAAAAAAAAGAGACAATAATTGTTGCATGCAGCAGCAGCAGGTGTTGCTGCTGCTGCTGCTGTTGCTGCTGCATGCAGCCCCACAGTGGTAGCCCCATATACTATATAAGAAGACAACAGCAAACTTATTATATTATTAAGGAGACAGCTATTAACCTAGGCAACAAGCAAAAAGGAGACACTATATACACTTGCTGTCTCCTCTGTATATATAAGGGTCTCTACAGGCATAGCAGCAAGCCCCAATGCATGCAGCAGCACTTAGAGACACAGGGGCAACTGAGAGGGGGCTGCTGCATGCGCAACATTTACTGGGGCCCCCAAGGTGGCCCCCCTAAACGGGGGCCTCTAAGGGGGCCCCAAGGGGGCCTCGAAGGGGGGCCCCCATGGGGCCCCTTGCTGACAGTTAATCTGGTTACAACAGACACACTACAGTGTAGGCAGCAATTGGTGCCTATTTTATGCATGCATGCATGCACGCATGCATGCATGCATGCATGCATGTATGCATGCATGCATGCATGTGTAGCTTGGTTTTGGGGCTTTTGTTAAGTTCTATGTATATATTAACATACACCCCATAGATAAAAAGAAATAAAAATAAATAAATAAATAAATAAATAAATAAATAAATAAAATAAATAAAGAAAAAGAGTAGCAATATATTATATAGTATACCCCTTAGCTGAGGATACACCTCAAGGAGACAGACAAAAGGAGACAAAAAGAGATAAGAAGGAAGGAGACAAAAAAGGAGACAGGAGGAAGGAGACAGCAGCAGCATAAAGTTATACACTTGTAGCGTCAATATCCATAAAAGAATCTGTGCCCCGTAGACGGGTCCCTGATAGACGCTGCTGCTGCTGCTGCTGCTGCTGCTGCTGCTGTTGCTGCTGCTGCTGTAGATGTTTGTCGGCAGCAAGTCCGCTGCAGCCGTCAGAGTTCCTCCTTGCCATCTTTGCTGCTGCAGCTGCAGCTGCTGCTGTTGACCTTGCACTTCCTGGCGTTCCTGCTGCTGATGATTCTGCTGCTGCTGCTGCTGCTGCTGCTGCAGCTGCTGCTGTCGTGTACGAAGAGGGTGACATCAACGGCTGCTGCTGCAGCGAAGGTGAGTCTGCAGCGGGCAGCACAGCAAACACGATTGTGTCTTCTGCTGCCTGTGCTGCAGTGCAGCAGCTGCTGCAGCAGACTGCAGCAGCAAGCTGCAGCAGGCAGCAGCGCAGCGTCATCTAACTGTCCCTACTGTCAATTAAGACAGCAAAAAGGAGACAAAAGGAGACAGCAGCAGCAGCAGCAGCAAGCAGCAAAGTGTCTCTACTAATAAATATTTTCTTCCCTCTCTCCCTTAACAAGGGGGGCCCCCCCTAGCAGCAGACAGCAAAGGAGACAATCGGAGACACCCATCTGTATCTGTTTGCTGCTGCTGCTGCAGCTGCTGCTGCAGATCTGTACCCGAAGGAGGGGGCCTCTTTCCCCTCATACTAGAGGCAGGAGACACAACATCTGCTGCGCTTGCTGCTGCTCCATGGGGCCCCAAATCGACACCCGCAGCAATAGCAGCAGCAGCAGCAGCAGCAGCAGTAGCTTCTACAGATACAGCAGCAGCAGGAGCAGCAGCAGGAGGGGCCCCCCTTAACTCGCTAACACGAGGGGACAAACTCTCCAACCAACGGGGTGTACGTACACCCGAAGCTGCATGCGCAAGCCAAGCAACCAGCCCTCCCTCCCCCCCACTGCGTCTACCCGCAGCAGCAGCAGCAGCACTTGCTGCTGCTGCTGTAGTATCGGCAGTAGTTGCCGCTGGTGCAGCAGCAGCAGCAGCAGCTGCTGCTGCTGCTGCTGCATCTGCAGAGTGAGGTGTATGTACAGCTGAAGATGGCGCACCCTCTCTCATGTGTAAGGGACTGTCTCCAATTGCTGCTGCTTCTTGGTCTCCTGTGTCTCCTGTCTTCCCCCTGTACAGCAGCAGCAGCAGCAACAGGACCAATGAATGATATACAGCAACAGAAATGGTAACAACAGCAGCAGCAGCAACACCAGCAGCAGCAGGCCTGCTGTGCTGCTGCATGTTTGCAAAGTCTTACTTCTGCTCTGCTGCAGCACCGAGGTAACGATGTAATAGACGAAGTTCTTCAGCTTGTAGCCAGCAATGCCTGCAGCAGCAGCAGCAGCAGCAGCAGCAGCAGCAAGACGACCAGCAGCAATATATGTAATTGGATAAGCAGCAAGAAGTGCATCAACTGCAGCAGCAATATCAGCAGCACCAACACCACAACCACCCCCACCCACCACTACCGCCACCACCATCAGCAACAGCAGCAGCAGCAACAGCAGCAGCAGCAGCAGCAGCAGCAGCAGCAGCAAGAGGCTCACCGCATGCGCAGCAAACGTTTGAATTCTAACTCCATTTTTTGTCGGGCATATTCTGCAAATTCTGCACTACAAGGATTACCCTCATGCAGGCGGCATACTAATTCGTCCTGCAGCAGCAGCAGCAGCAGCAGCAGCAGCAGCAGCAGCAGCAAGAGCAGCAGCAACAGCAGATATATAGACACACTAGCAGTACCATCAGTAGGGGCAGCAGAAATATCAGCAGCAGCAGCAACAGCAACAGCAACAGCAGAAATCACGAAGAAGCAACCAACGTGCGGGTGCTCATCATGCAGACACAGCAGCAGCAGCAGCAACGGCAGCAGCAGCAACAGCAGCAACAGCAGCAAAAAGCAGCAAAATGGACTTGTTGCCTCTCGTGATGCCCCTGAGCTCCGCTCCCTTCTGCTGCTCTCCCTCGCAGCAATTCAAGAAGACGCTTCATATAATGCTGACGACGGCCTGCAGCAGCAGCAGCAGCAACAGCAGCAGCAGCAGCAGCAGCAGTAGCAGCAGCAAGAGATTGCCACAACAGCAGCAAGGTATTGTACTCATCCTAGACCCAAGCATTACTAACAGCAGATGCAGCAGCAGCAACAACAGCAGAACCAATCCCAGCAACAGCAGCAACAAGAGCAGCAGCAGCAGCAGCAGCAGCAGCAGCAGCAGCAGCAGCTTACCTCCAACTTGTGCTTGTAGTGCCTCTAATTGTGCTGCAGTTAGAGACTCAATATTTGCACCATTTAGATTCTGCTGCAGCAGCCGTGGCATATCGAAGGGAGCTGCTGCTGCTGCTGCTGCTGCTGCTGGATTGCTGCTGCTGCTACTAAGACCTGTGTCTCCTGCTGATGGCTGCTGCTCTGGTGTCGGCAGCAGCTGCTGCAGCAAACACTTTGTCGGGTCTGTCTCTGTGCTGCTCGTCACACCAGCCTTATACCGCAGTCTGCTGCAGCTGTTGCTGCTGCTGCTGCTGCTAGGATGCATGCTGCTGCAGTAAGGAGACGAAGGAGACCCACTAGGCCGCCGCACGCGCAGCTCATTGAGCAGCGGTGGCAGCTGCTCTGCTGCTGCAGCAGCTGCTGCAGCAGATTCGTCCTGCAGCAGCATATCTTCGTGCTGCTGCTGCAGTTGCTGCTGCTCGCCGTCAGCATCTACTGCCATCCTACGGGTATCTAAGGGTGACCCCTCAGCAGCAGCAGCAGCAGCAGCTGCTGCTGCTGCTGATAGACCTGCTGGCTCCTTCATATAGATAAGTGTCTCCCCATCGTCTCCTAGTAGTCCCCTCTTGCTGCGCTGCTGCTGCTGCTGCTTCTGCAGCCATGACTTCCTTAGGGCAGAAGTATTAATAGCAGGTGTTGCTTGGTGTCTCCTTTCTGTAGGAGACTGCTTCTGCTGCTGCTGCTGCTGCTGCTGCAGCTGCTGCCTAGTACGGAGACCTAGACGAGTACTAGATGTCTCTGCTGCAGAACCGTAACGAGTCTGCTTCCTACCAGGTATAATTGTCTTCCTAACAATTGGTTGCTGCTGCTGCTGCACCTGCTGCTGCACCTGCTGCTGCGGCTCCTGCAGCAGCAGCTCCCTAGAGGATAGAGGAGACAGTTCTTCCCTAGCTGTCTCTGCACCATCAAGATCCGCATCAGCTGCTGCTGCTGCTGCTGCAGCAATATCTGCAGCAGAAGCAGACAACGGGGATGCACCTCCTGCTGCTGCTGCTGCTGCTGCTGCAGTTCTTGCTAGACGTGATTGTCTAGGAGACAATGCTGTCTCCCTTATTAATCTATTTATTCCTTTATTCCCTTGGAAGGAAGAGAGAGGAGAAGGAGGAGGAAGCATACCCCTTCCTTCTATCTGGATGCATGCATGCATGCATGCACACACACACACACACACACAGCTGCAGCACAACAGCTACCATTACAAACCAGCAGCAGCAGACAACGCAGCAGCAGCACAACAACAGCAGCAGCAACAACAGCACTACTACCCAGCACCATCATCATCACTAGCAACAGAACCAGCAGCACAAACAGCAGCAGCAGCAGCAGCAGCAGCAGCAGCAGCAGCAGCACGTATGCCCTACATCTTGCATGCGTCTGGGGCTGTTAGAGGAGACATCAGCAGCAGCAGCAGCAGCAGTTTTTCTTGTTAATGTTGTATTTGTTTTTCTTGTTATGCCTGCACTTCTTATACTTCTTGTATAATTGCTGCTGCTGCTGCTGCTGCTGCTGCTGCTGCTAGTAGATGACGGTAAGGAGACAGTAGAAGAGGGTACTAAATTAGAGGCCCTTACCCCTCTACGGGCCCCCCCCCCATAGGGCCCCAAGGGTGTAGGGGGAGGTATACGAGGAGACACCTCAACAGAGGAGGAGAAGAAAGTATCTCCTCCTCCTCCTCCTCCTGCTGCTGCTGCTGCTGCTCCTCCTCCTCCTCTATAGGGAGACATTTCCTCTGTATATGTATATGAGGGACTCATAGGTGATTTAGCTCTATCTCTTGCCCCTCCTGCTGCAGTCCCTTGCTGCTGCTGCTGTATTTCATTAGTATTATTCCCCAGCTGCTGTTGCTGTTGCTGTTGCTGCTGCTGCTGCTGCTGCTGCTGCTGCTGCTGCAGAGGGAGCTGCTGCTGCTGTATCCTAAAGTTTTTAACCCTAGATGCATATCTTAATGTATTGAGTGTTTGTTCGCAACAAGAAGAGGCAGGAGAGATAGTAGCAATCATAACACTACTAGTAATACAATTATTATTATTATTATTGCTGCTGCTGCTGCTGCTGCTGTTGCTGCTGCTGCTGCTGCTGCTGTTGCTGCTGTTGCTGCTGCTGTTGTTGCTGCTAGGGGTAATAAATATCTCCCTTAATACCTTTGTTAGCTCACTGTCCCTAAAGGGGACATGTACCCTCTTATTGTCTCCTTTTATTCCCCCTTTATCCATTGCCCTTATGCATTCCTTGAGTGCTAATAAGGAACGATTTATACCTACACCATCTTGTTGTGTCTGCTTACTATGTTGCAGTGTATCTGCACCTCTCTCGCTACCTGCTAGATCTATAAATGCTAAACGACCTATAACAGCAGCAGCAACATATGCAGCAGCAAGTGCAGCAAGTGCAGCAAGTGCAGCAACAGACAGGGCAGCAAATCAACAGGGACCAACAGGCAACAGGATATAAGAGGGTAT